AAGCCATTAAGTGACCTATTAAGGAAGGATCAGGAATTACTCTGTAGCGAACCGGTGTTACACATTTATCAACCAGGACTTGATTTAGAACTACATACCGACGCTAGCCGATATGGTTACGGTGCTTGTCTATTGCAACGAGCAAACACGGACCACCGTTTACATCCAATTTTTTATATGAGCAAAAAAACCACACCAGCCGAGGAAAAGTATTCCAGCTACGAGTTAGAAGTTCTTGCGATTATTCAAGCTATCAAGAAGTTTAGAATTTACCTGCTGGGCGCTAAATTCAAGATTGTTACGGATTGCCTTGCATTTCAAAAGACGATGGATAAAAATGATTTAACTACTAGAGTGGCTAGATGGGCGTTACTTTTGGAAGAATATTCATACGAAATAGAGCATCGAAAAGGATGTCGAATGCCACACGTGGATGCCCTTAGTAGAAACCCAACGACGATGTTAATGCAAGAAACTCTTGTGGATGATGCGTTAGTTAAAAGGATCCGAAACGCGCAAAGAGGTGATAGACACTTAAACATAATCACCAAAATTCTAGAATTAGATCAAAACTACGACGATTATTTTTTAAAAAACGATATCTTGTACAGATACAAAGAGGGAAAGGAATTATTGGCGATACCAGAGGGAATGGCGCTTGAAGTCATTAAACAATGTCACGAATTAGGACATTTCGGAATAGCGAAAACGGAAGAAGTAGTAAAAAGAGAATTCTTCATTGAAAAACTACCTGAGAGAATTAAGGATTGTATTAGAAATTGTATACCTTGTATTCTATAAGCAGGAAGGAGGGCAAAAAGGAGGGATTTCTACATCCCATACCTAAGAAAGGTCCACTTCACACCTACCACGCTGATCATTTGGGGCCAATTACATCGACTAACAAAAATTATAAACACCTATTGGTAATCGTTTGCGATTTCTCTAAATTTACGTGGCTATATCCGACGAAATCGACCACGACCCAAGAAGTACTGAAATGTTTAGAAGGTCAGAAGCAGATTTTTGGAAACCCTAGTCGAATAATAACGGATAGGGGTACAGCCTTTACATCTCACGAGTTTGAAGATTATTGCAAAAGAGAAGGCATCCAACACACATTGAGTTCAGCTGGAAATGGACAAGTGGAAAGAATAAACCCCAGTACTAACCAAACTTAGTCTAGATGACGCGACAAAATGGTATAAATACGTAGGGCGGGTACAGAGAGCTTTAAACTCTACGTTTCAGAGAAGTGTAGCCGCAACGCCTGCTGAAGTATTATTTGGCGTAAAAATGCAAAATAAAGAAGATTTAGCTATAATAAATCTATTAGAGAAAGAAGCAGTAGAGGAATTTAACGAAGCCAGAGAGAAAATCCGAGAAGGTGCCAGGACACAAATTAGTAAGGTACAAAGAGAGAATACCAGAACTTATAACCTTAGAAGGAAAAAAGCAAGGAAGTATTGCGCTGGAGACTTGGTGGCCATCAAACGTACACAATTGAGTCCCGGCCTTAAAATTGACAAAAAAATTTTGGGGCCTTACGAAATAGTGAACGCTAAAGCTAATGAGCGTTATGATGTCGCTAAAGTGGGGACATTCGATGGTCCAATTAAAACCTCTACATGCGCAGAGTTCATGAAGCCGTGGATTGATAACCACTCGGAATCCGAGGCGGATTCTGATCAGGACGGCCGAGTGTAGGAATTAGTTATCTTAAGTTAGAACTTATCGTTACGCCACTGTTCGAGCGCTGGGAAACGTGTGTTCAGGCAAATGGTAGGGACTCGACGACGAGAGAGCGACGTGATAAGACGTAGCAGAGAGAGCGGTTACAAAAGTACGGTATGTGCATGTGCGGCATACAAAGTGACGAAACAAACGACGGTATGTGCGAAATCAGAAATCATACACAACGACGCTATCGAGTAATAATCGACGGTACGACGATAGACACGAGACATTTGCGAATAAGAGTGATATTGCTATTGTGCACGAACATTATTACCTAGACGAACAGTTGTAGTGACGATAATAAATACTTTTAGTAAGCAAAGCTTTATTTTACACCCTAGACAACACAACAAAGCCTACAATATTATATTAGTGCATAATAGTGTTTTTTTTTTAATAATAACTTTTTTAACTTTGTTAGTTGAACTTAATTAAGTGTTAGTTAATTCGTAGTTATCAAATACCCTATATTCATTTTATCCTTTAAAATATTATTCATATTATTATCTCTTTCAGATACAACTAGTTATGACTGTATTCATTTATCTTTATGTATAATATGTCGTGTTTTTAGTGTTTACCGTAGGATAAATAAATCATAGTTTATTAAAAATGTATTGCACTTTTTTAGATTCTGTTTAAATCTTTTGAATAACTTGTCATATTTGTATAGTCGTTTTAATATCATTGAGTCAGGCCTTGATCCCACCGCCATATTGGTATGATCGTTAGCCACACCTACTGGTGTCCTTTTTAATACACACGTTAAAATGCTCATAGCTTCTCCATAGATTCTAACTCGATGATAAATATATAGGATTATAAACAATATTGATAATGTCTATCCATATGTCACGTCATTTAAAGTAGTGACTACTACTAGTGAACTACCAACAAGCCGTATAAATATTGGATTTCATGATCAATTACGAATTAACCACAATGCAGTTGATAATACACTTATTTTGATGTTTCAATTTTCATTTTGGAAATCGTTACCTACATACTAATTAAACAAATTATTTTATTTGGTTACTTGATAATAAAAAAAAAATTTTCAAATAATTTAATTTTATCTGCCTTATTCATATTAATAATTTAGCCATTATACATTATAAAGTAGACCACTTTAAAATATTGTCAATAATTATATTGACTGTAAGAATTTTTAATCCACATTAACTTGAAAATACTCATCAGAAATATCATGGCATGTGCTTTTTCGATAAAATATAACCACATCCAATCACTACAGTAAAATTCTCGCGCTAGTAATTCCATTGTAAATCATGAGTAAAAAGTCCCTTGTGGAAGCGGGCTGCTTAAGTAGAACACCTTCACAGCACCTGCTTGTCCGCTGTCCGTTGACCTTGGCCGTTCCTTGGTGTTCCTAACCTGGCCTGATAGGTAATACCGCCGTCCATCATACGACATACACGTCCTGATACCCAAACTTATACCCGAGGAGAAAACCTCTACTAATCTAAAAACTACTGGAAGAAACCATTGAAAACAAACGGATATGAATATGCATACAGCAGGTGGCTATACATCATCCTAATATATTGCCACCCCAACCTGAAGGTGTAATACTGCCGAAGGGGTTCATAGCCAAGGGGCAATATTTAGCTACAAGTGATGCCCAAGAAAGATGACGAACCCGAGGGGAAAACAGCCTTGGCGGGGTAAAGGCACTGCCCCCACTGGACCGATCAGCACGACCTAACTAGTGGGAAGAAAGATAAAAAGGAAAAATAAAATAAAGAGGGAAGAGAAGGTAGCGCGAGTGACAGAAAGCAGAAGTGAGGAGAAAAATAAAAGGATGAAACTCGAAAACAGAGAAGCAGGAGGAAGAAAAGGAAGAAACTGGAACTAGAAAAAGCCGAAACAAAAGATAAGCAAAATAAGAGCGAAAAGGGGGAAGGAAGAGGGAAATAGCAAACCAGAAATTAGAGAAAAACAGAAAGAGGGAGGAGAAACAGAGAGAAGGACGGAAAAAAAATCAAGGGAAGTAATTGTAAAGAAAGAAAACATAAGAAAGGAAAAATAAGAGGAAGCGAGCAGCTCGAAGAGCGGAATCAACTCCAACAATGAATAACAAAAGCAGTGGCCAACAAACATAAAATGGAGCAAGGGGACAGAACCGACCAGTTCGGAGGAAGAAGAACAGTCATTTAACTACAAAGCAAGATCAATGTTGGAGCACTGCCAGGATACCGTAGTGGCACTCGAGAAACCCATGACGGATGTGCAAAATACAAGGCTATCCGTAAAGAGGGAGGTCAACTTTCTGAGAAATCGGATGCTCTATTATATCGAGGAAGTCGAGAAAAATAAAAAAGAGGTTCCAGGGAAGTCTGAGTACACGACATCCAGAGGTGTGTAGACAAACATGGAACCCTTGCAAGAAGAGAAGAAAATGGATGTTCAAGTGGATCTAGAGAATCCAGAAGTCATTAAAAGAAGCTACCAAGGACAAGATGACAACATGCGAGAACGAGAAGAAGACAATAGAGTTCCTAAAAGAAGGAAGGCTGACCGTAGGAGGTCTTGACGAGGACTGTAGTGAAAGTGAGAAATATTCTGAAACAACAGGAGACGTAGCTGTCTTTGTCACCAAGAACGACGAGGACAACAAAGCCATGGAAAGAACGAAAACTGTATTTTTGGTACTGCTAAGTGTTCCAGCTGAGGTAGGCGACGAGAGCGGCCTGGGAACCATGAGAGTTACGATGTCTGACCATAAGGATGTAACGTGGATGCACAATCAAGAAGGAAAACCTCAGACGGTGAAGTTTCTGAAAGCGTGCAGGAAACTGGTACAGAAGATGAAGGAACTAAGAAAAGAAAACGTAACCAGATTTTACTAAATTGAGAATGTAACATACATAATAAATAAAACCAAAAATTTAACACGTAAGGAAATCATCATAAATTATTTCCTGGTTTTTCCTCATGATTTACAAAGGAATTACTACCGAGAGAATTTTACTGTGGTGATTGGGTGTGGTTGTCTTTTTAAAACCAAATCACATGATATTATTTTTTCTGACGGGTGTTCCAAAGTTAAAGTTATTTTCTTGTAATCGAATAAACTATTCTCCGATAAGTCGTCCCAGGAACGCAGCTCAAAAATATTGATAAGTATATGACTTTTAAATGTATAATGTATAAAAAAATTATTGCATAGCCTTGCCTAATTACGCTCAGTTTAGTAGCTCGATACGTTAATAATAATAAAAACAAGTTTAATCAATTTTTAGGCAATTGAAGAAATTCGGCTATTAGTAAAGAAAGAACGTGAATATTTAGAACTAAAAAACATTTTGTTTTTAAGAAAACGTAACAATTTTATTCAGATGTATACTATTTTGTCCAAACTACCTCCAGAGCAAAGAAATATAGAAAATCTTAAATTTAGGGCAATCCTCGATGCGAACGAACCATCTACAATAGAAATAAAAGATTCGGATGACGAATTACAAATTGTAAACAGGGAAAAGGTAAATTTACGATTATATTTAATATTTTTCAATTCAATATAATTGTAGGTAAATCTGATAAAACAATTTTTCTATAATATATTTTTAATTAGTTGAGATACAACTCAAATATTGTTTGGAACGTCACTGTTATGGCTGTTACTATGCTACAAACAATTTATTAAACTATTTCGGCTCCATTTAAATTGAACTGTATCAGTTTTTATATTTTAGGTACCTACAGCAAAATCAGCTCTTAATGTAAATTTGAAATCAATATTAAAACCTTTAATACCGTTACCAATTAATAGAGAGTCAAGTCATTCCTCAAATGAGGATCAAAAACCATTCACAGACAAAAGTATTCCAGATATAATTAAAAAACCCTGGTATGTCAAAACAACAAAAATAATAGAAAACAAATTTAAGATGGTGAAGATACCTCAAACAGATCCAATCGTGGAAAAAAGCAGGTTTGCTATTGCTGATACGAAGGATACGATAATTCACAACAGAAATAGATTTCAAACTGCCGTTGAATGTAAAAATAAAAACGTTAACTGTAAACCTCAAACAAGTATTGAAAATATGGTTGATGCTGATAAGCTTGTTTCATCCGTGATAATAGATTTAGATGATATACCTTCTGATAATGAAATGTAAATATTAAATATACTAAAGAAAAAAATAATTGTGATCTGTAATATAAGTATAAGTAAAACTATTAGTATAGTCGGCACGTAATTTCGTGAGAAAATTTACAGAGACCAAAGCAAGCAAAATACTAGTAAAATGGCAACGCTGTTAGAGTTACTACTACTGTATTGTAGTCATCGAGCAAAAAGACAATAGAGGGAATGTAAAGGTAGTGGGGGCAAACATATTGTTAGACAGGAAGTGCGATCTTTAGAGGCCACATAAAACAAGGAAAGAGAGTCTCTCTCCTTGTTTGACATCAAATTTAGTTGGGTTATGTTATTGTTTGTCCCAAATGTCACATGAAATCTTATTTATATTGAAGTTTTTTAACAATTGTGTCGCATTTTAGACTCTTATCATTAATAATTAATTAAAACTTTCTCGTCTAAGACACATTCTCCTAAATATTATATAGCTACTGTTGATAAGTGTCGGAAAATTTAAATTTGGCGCATTCGCATTTCCGGATATGTCCGCCATCAGAGGCCACTTTTTTGGTCTCCTTTTCATAAGGATTAGATTCCCCCTTTTATCTTATTGCTCGATGATTGTAGTACATAGTAGTATAACAGTAGCGTAGATATCTAATTTTAAATTAAATAAAAGTTTTTACTTTTATTTAATTTTATTTACCAAAAAGTTTCATTTTCTATAAAGTTTAAATAAAAAATATCGGTGTTTTTAACTTCTGTGATATATCTTGAGAGTGATAACACTAATCGACTCGACTGAACAGAACTTATTGTAAAATAATAATATCTATATAAAACATTGTTAATGATAGTAGTTATTCAGCGAGAATGACAGTGACAGTTTCAGTTGACATACTCCCCTAAAACATTAATAATTTTTGTCCTATCAAGAAGTGTATTTATACCCTGTTTTCAAAGATATATAAGCAAAATGAGAATATCTAGAATTAAAATAAAAATAAAGGTTTCAACTAACACCTAATAAGTACTTACTATCTACTCAGAATCACTGTTATCACTAGTATCACTCGTATCATCTAAATTTATAGGTAATTTGGTTAATGCTGGTAAATATTGAACATAGTCATTTTCCACTCCGATCACATGTTTTATTTTTATTACATTTTTCCAGTTGGTTGCTGTAATTTTTGTGACTTCTCTTCTAATTAACTGGAGAACAGTAGACAAAAAATTTTGGAGCAACGTTTCTTCTCATTATATTTCCTTTAAGTTGAGCCCATATTAACTCTATTGGGTTCATTGTACAATAATAAGGAGGAAGTCTAAACACAGTATGCCCGTTACTACGAGCACAGTTGTCAACAAAATATTCCTTTTCGTACTGTTTACTATGAACAACCTCCAATAATTGCTTTTTAATATAAGATGTCTCAAAATACAAATCTTCCGTGGATAAAAATTCCTGAATTTTTAATTTATTCCAACTATTATTTGAAGTTTTTTTCATTAATCTTGAATGATATGATGCGTTGTCCATGATAATCACACTATCTTTAAGTAATTTCGGAAGAAGACATTTTTCAAACCATGATTCAAAAATTGAACTTTCCATATCGTCATGATAATCCAGAGACGCGTTTTTAATTTGTTTTGCAGATGTTAATAATGCATCGTCGACCTATCCATTTTCTCCACCGCAGTGTAAAATTATAATCCTTCTTCTTTTATTGGGCGGTACTGAGTTGAAACACTTTTTGTTATTATTTGTCCAACTTTTTTTCACGGTGTCATGAGTATCATACCAGGTCTCATCTAAATAAACAATATTTCGTTTCATTTTTCGATACTCAGTTATCTGTCTGATATAATTGTTTCTTAAAGAAATTATTCTAGTATGTACTTTCCATAAATGTCTGTCTCTTGTCCATAGTTTTGTACTCAAAATTATTCGCTTTAACAAATAATCGAAGTGTTGTTGCTGAACACGAGAGAATGCACTTTCAAACTAATTCACTTCGAAGGCTTTCAATAGTTGGAAAAATATTAGCCGCATACATTTGGTATATTGTTCTAGTTATAGATTCAATTAACTGCGGTTCTATTTTTCTGAATTTGCCACAATCCTTTCTCTTCTGTCTAGAAGAAGATGTTTCTCCTATAATTTTGTAGTAGGTTGCTTTGGGCACTCTGGTTAAAAAACATGTTTCTGCAATTGCCTCTGATTTAGACAATTCAGCACACAGTCCTTCATAAACATTTTTTAGCATACGTTTGGCATCATCAGAAAAGTATTGAAAATGTCGTTTACGTTTTTGTGACGCCTTTACCGGGGAACCGATTAGAGGGTTCCATTGTCTCTTCAGCTACATAATTATTATCGCACCACGGACGCAATATTTTAAAATTATCAAACGTATATCAAACGGATTTTCAAAATCCGTTTAACAATTTAACTAATATTCAGAAGACACATTACAGTAACATCTTACCAATCCATTTATATATATATATATATATATATATATATATATATATATATATATATATATATATATACATATATATATATATATATATATATATATATATATATATATATATGTATATATACAGATTGAACCAAATTAAAACGGAACATACAATTTAATACATGTCTGTTTGAACTTCATTTGAAATAGTGGACCAATATAAAACTTGGACAAAAATAAATCCATACCTAGGTATAGACATTGTATAAAATATCGTTCAACTATCTGTCTCACAACAATGTTGTTTGCGTAAGACGGGTTTGTCTAAGGAAACGATAATAGTTCAGGAAATTAAGCTCGAAAAAAGTTAAAACCTCGCAATTTTTTCGTCCTGCATGTATCCAGTTGAAATTTTTACAGAAGGTAGGTGATAGCCCAAGGATCAAAATCTATATCGAACCGAAGTGCGCTGAAGGGTTTTAGGGGTGAAAACTACCCCTAATTGTCAAAAATTATAAAATAGTATATTAAACCTGAATCTGGGTAAGATTTGGTTTGAATTAGTTATATAATAATTATTTTATACTTTTGAATAGAGTTCCATTATATTTCAACCCTTAAAAAGCAACCCTTGTTAGAGATTAATGTAAAAAAATTACTAATTCTAAAAAAATGATTTCGCCTTGGATCGATTTGGATAAAAATTTGGATTTAAGCTCAATTCACCCGCTGCTTTATAGTTTATGTCATGTCGACGAACCCTGATTGTTCTTAGGGGTGAAAACTACCCCTAATTGTCAAAAATAATAAAATAACATATTAAACCTGAATATGGGTAAAATATGGTTTGAATTAATTAAATAATGATGGTTTCGTGCTTTTGAATAAAATTCCATCATATTTCAGCCCTTAAAAACGACCCTTATAAGATAATATAAAAAAATAGTAATGCGAAGAAAATGATTTCACCTTGGAACGATTTGCATAAAAATTTGGAATTAAGCTCAACTCACCCTCTGCTTTATAGTTTATGTCATGCCGGTGAACCCTGATTGTTCTTAGGGGTGAAAACTACCCCTAATTTTCAAAAATTGTAAAATAATATTATAAATCTTAAGATGAGTGAAATTTGGTTAGGATTAGTTAAATAGTGATTTTTATATACTTTAAAATACAAATTCATACATTTTCAACCCTTAAAAATCAATTGTTATGAGTGCTATCGGTGAAAACAATTTTTTGCCAAAATTTTGCAACTTTTCAATTTTCAAAAATTCACTTTTTTTTTAACGTATTTCCTTTAGTTTTTAACGATAGAGTGTTTCTTCAAAAACGATTTGTTGAGGTTTTTAAATGGGGTGAGTTTAAAGGGCTCGAAAAAGATGGTGCTTGATCGTAAATCGATGCTTTAAACGGCTATATCTCGCCAAATATTCATTGTACAACAAATCTAAATAAAGGATAATTTTAGTCATTAAAAAAGCTACAATTTGGTAATTTTTATTTTTTTCATATATTCAGTATTTTCGGGCATATTTAAAAAAAGAAGGGTAAAAAATATGAAATTGTAAATCGTTTCTCGCTTTAAGCTGTACTTTTTCTAACACAAAGCATTTTAAATGGGTCAAACTTCTTGAACGTATTAACAATACATGTACAAAGGGAATTGCAGAAGGGTGAAGATCGATTTTAATTATGGGGGTGGTCATCGGTTTTTTCGTAAAAAATGAGGTATTGACCTTATTTTCATCATAACTCACTCAATTTTTGAGCTAGAGTCTTTTTTATGATATGTCTATTTATGCTCTTTAAAAAGGGGTTGTGATTTTTCTTCCAAAAATGCATCATTTTCCCGATACTTATTTGACTTTGAATCTTTCAAATTTGGCATTTGAAGAAAACCGCTGAACATTGATAGGCCGTATTTTGGTTCCTATTATATCGCAAAAACATTTTAAAAAATGAATTGTATTTGTCTTTTTAAAAGCTACAAATTTGTTCTCTACAGTTTTTTTGATAAAATGCACCATTTTCGAGTTATTCGCGAAAAATTGATCAAAAACGTGGATTTTTTCGTCTAGAAGTTGTTACTTTCAATCGCGAATAACTTGAAAAATATCATTTTATAAAAAAAATGTATAGCACATTTTTTGTTTAGAATCACTTTTTTAATCGAAACCTGTAGTTAAAACGTAAAAAAAATTTTCACCCCAGAGATGGGGTGGCAACCACCCCCTAGGCTTTGGCGCACTTTGGTTCGATATAGATTTTGATCCTTAGGCTATTACCTACCTTCTGTTAAATTTCAAGTCAATCCACGAGGCACGAAAAAATTGCGAGGGGAAATACTTCATTTCCTGGACTATAACTGGTTTGACAGCATAAATCGTAGATTTATGTGTAGCTTTCAATTTTTATGAGTTCAGAATCCAGCAGCCCGCTTAAGTATGGGATTTTTATAACATAATTATTTGACAATCTTTTGTTGGCCAACCACCTACAGCAGAATTTAGCCGAAATACATTATATTCCTATGTTCCGAATTTATTTCGTTCAATCTGTA